CGGAATTTTTGCCCCAGTCGGGGCAAAATGAATACAAAGGTTCCATCACGGGCACAGGAGGAGGGTTATACCTTTTCCCCTTCGATATTTCGATAAAAGTACGGATAGCTACCACCCTCATGAAGAACCACAAAAAAACAATAGCTGGGGCGCAGGGCGGAATGGGCCTGAGGTGCATGTTACAGAAACGACAACCCTGCCCCCGAACACAACATCATATGAGTAGAGGCTACACTAGGAATTACCCGGGTCTTCCAAGGTCAGGGGTTGTCTTAGTAGGTAAGACCTTCGTCAGAGTAGGACCAATAGATACTGCCTGGGAGGGGAAAGGTGCTTTAGGCGCTGTAAAGCGAAGACATGTAGAAGTCAAATCTCCGAGGATTATTTCACGTAAATCTGCGCATGAACCATTGCAATCAGGATTAAAAGCGGTGGATAGCCTTGTTCCAATACGTCGTGATCAACGAGAAATTATGATTGGAAATAGAAATCGTGGAATGTTTGCTGTTTGACCAACCCCGGCTGGTGGTCATAGATGGGTCCTGTGTGCACACACTAAACCAAAAACAACAAGAAAGGAAAAAAAGAGGAAAAAAGTTAAAAAAACACAAAACTCATTCTATTCACCCACACAGTATGTGCGTTTTAGTCATCCAAAATAAAAGTCCGTTTTGCGGTCGAATTCGAGTCGATAATCGTACGAACGTGAGCTACACAACGATGCATGCCCAGCACACATTGTTTTTCATTTTCTATTTTTAAGCACGCAACCACCTTGATATCATCATCGCTAAGACCGGCTCCGTGTCATTCATCATTAATAAATTTCGTTCTTCCAAGGTTCATTAGGGTTCTAACTCGTGTTTGTATCTCGACGGTTAACGGGTGTACCGACCACGCATAGCACCTTGTCATGATGGGTTGTAGATATTTTCCCAAGAGTACACAATTGTTCCATCCACTTGCGACAGACAACTTCATAGTCATCATTTGTTATAGACCTCCCTCTCTCTCTCTCTCTCTTGTGCGCACACACGCATGCAAAAGAGAGAGAGAGAGAGAGAGAGCACTTCCCCATGCAACGTCAATCTACATACTCCGTTTTGGGGCCGAGTATATGGCCCTCGTTACACCACTCCACATTCACAGGCAACATACGCGATCAATGGTTTCCATGTTCTAATGGAAGATTCATTCCCGTTTTGGACATTTGGTGAGTAGTGGAGGGAGGCGTTCTGAACAGAACTATCCACATCTTCTGCTCAACGAACGTATAAATAGACACATAGATAAGATAGAGAGACAGAATCGAATTATAATGGCACTATGGGCCAAGATACAGTTTGCAATTGCTACATGGTCAGAAAGCCGGGTTGTATACATTGCCCGAACTGCAATTATGAAGTGAACCTCGACCAAAACTTCGTTGCGTTGCAGTTCGTTATTTTTATTGTTTTATAAGAAAATTTCACGTGACAAGAGCCGACCCGTCCAGATAACCATTTATCTTGAGCAGCCAGGCTTTGCAATAAAATGAGAACTGAAAACAAATCGAAAAAACACTACATGTTCTTCACACAAATAACCTGAACAACTTTTGCCTCAGGATTACATTTAAGAACCAGTTCTCCAATTTATTCGTTTTTGGCCAAACTGACTCGGAGCACGCGGTACTGCACCAGTCTGGTATCCTACGAGAATTTTAATTTTCTCCTTGTTGATTTGTGGCTCTACCAAAGTTGTCACCAATTTACTGAATCTAACGCTAGGACACAATATTCGTATGCAACGTTCAGTTATCATTTTGGGCGAAGACGGTACCATGATACAAGTATTCATGGTGCGCCGTTGAAAGTACTACCACCAATATCAAGAGGCAATGTGGATTATCTATTGCATGATTGTCACATGTGATTTTGCAGTCCTCTTCTTTAACAAACAGCTAACTAATTACTGTACTGCGCTGGTAGTGGTGACATGAGACGCAAAAAACAAAATAACAAGTACATTGACACGATGACCTGGGCTGTGTCCACGCTGTATGGCCTCAACCAATAGTTGGTTGCGTTGTCGGAACATTTATAAGATGGCTCCGCTAAGTCAACACTGTACGGCATTTCCCGCACGGGGCCACGAGATCCCATCCTGCCCTGTGTAGGACGGATTGGACATTGGACATGGTAGACAGTGAACCTCGCTCCACTTGTACCCCCGAAAGATGAGCTATATGCTGAAGTGCCCCTGGAATATCTTGGTGGAGCAGAACACCCCGCATCTTTGCAATATAACTTTTCACCGGTTACCTATCCAAATTCCCAGTATACCCCGATATTGCCCAACTCTCCAAGAAATCAATTGTATTAGCACTTCGCGCCCAGGTCATCTTCTCGTTTTGACCACCCCCAACCGTTGGAGGAATTCTCTCTCTCTCTCTCTCTTTCTCTCTGTGTGTGTGTGGGTGTGTGTGAGTGCGTGTGCGTTCCTGTTCATACTCTCCTCAGCTTTTCCGCTAAGATTAAGTGTAGCACAGTTCTCATGAATTTAATATCTGAACCGTCTGTACGATCATCATCTTGTATGCCTGTTTTGTTTATTTGTATTTCTGAGCGACAGGGTTTGACTATGCCCGCAGTGCCTTGCCCAGGCCGAATGGTCGTCTCTGCGGCAGGGGTAAGCGGGCACATCTCCCGGTATGGTAATCTAGTTTGGGGCGACAAACAAGCACTTGATACACGAATAAATTCAAAAATACGGCTGGCAGGCTCGGTCCTCCTGCGGAGTGAGCGGGCACTCTCTCCGGCCCGTGCCAGGTGTTAGACAGGCCAGGGTACTATTCCCCGCACTGAGCCGGCGTAGTAGAGAGGAGGCTTTCCGTTTTTTTTCTGAACTACGCTATATGCTTCTCTCAAATCTTTCATCATCTTTCAAATTCTTCAATTCACCTTGCCTACCTACGTACCACTACTCCCAAGGCTTATCCAGGGAATCCCTGCGAACATAGCTTTGTTGTCTCCCTCCAGCCATCAGAGGGGATGCACGTTGCCCTCCACCCCAACCATGGTGACCAAGACCGAGCCTTTTCATCGTCCCCCAGCCCCAACCGACTACCCGAGAGTTTCGCCTTAGACACTGCTGTTCTGTTTCCCCTGCAAAAATATAATAATCAAACACGTAAGCGTCCAACCATGGTAGTCGTCGGGCCTTACACCACTCTCCATGCATGTGGACGCTTTCCAGACCCCATTACATTCGAAATGTTGCCCTCATCCAAATGCACGTGATCAGCTAAGCGCCCAAATGCACGTAGACTGATGTGTACTGGAACGAGGCCCGTCCTCTTTCTTGTCTTCCTTTCAATCAAGTGGGACCAGCGACTTGCACTAATCCAGAGTTACTTGTCCTCATCATCTGACTGCATTTGGATTCGAACCTCGGTATACATTTCATCCGTAACCTCCTTCCCACTTCTTCCCCTTTTTCTTTTTTTACTGTTCTCTCAACTTCTGTTTTTGCCTTTCACTACCTACTCCTAAGGCTATCTAGAGGGGACCCCTGCAACCATAGTTTCCTCTCACTATGAAGGGGAGATTTCATGTTGCCCCTTGCCCCTAATGTTTAGGGTGTAGGGTTGGGGCCGCCAGTTGGGGTCTGGCGAACACAAAGAACAAGACCTGCCAGTACCTGCGCCTCCCTTTCTCATCGTCCCCCACCCCTCGCCGAGTAGCTGCAGTAGCTATGGCCAACACACTCCCACACCACACGCAACCCACTCGCGCTCGCACTCACACCCATGTTGGTCATAGATTCCACTACCGGTAGTACCGATCGAGTATCCAGAGGACTATCCCAGTTCGTTGACCTCTGCCGTTACCATCCTACCTACTATTTTTATTCTTCCCTTCGCCACCCATTTTCCTGCGCCGTAACAAGAGAGTTGCTGGGATCTGAGCTGCCTATCTCATTTGGTTGGGCGTGCAACTGGCATTCACGAGGTCGTGGGTTGCGTGCACTCTTGATGCCAACCAACTGAGATAGTCGACTGGATCCTCCCAATCGGTATCAGTAAGGTCTTCAGCCAACACAGGTGTGAGTGCCCGTGTGAGTGGGTTGCGTGAGGTGTGGGAGAGTTGGCTTTAGACACTGCTGTTACCCGATGGGTGGGAGAAGAAGACGGAGGCCCAGTAAGAGGCAAATGCTCGGTCCTTGAGTAATCGGGCCCCCACCGGCGGCACCAAACCTGCACCCTAAGCGCTGAAGCAAAGGGGCAAACATGTCGTTACCTCTCCACCGAGAGAGGCAACCTCCCTTCACCGAAGACAGGTAGAAAGCTATGCTTGCAGGTATACAAAGAAGTGTTACATGACATGGCTGATAGCCAGTCAAAAATATGTGAGGTTAGAGGAAAAATATATGGCTGTCCCCCGATGAGAAGAAGGCAACTCGGTAAAAAAAAAAGAGAGAGTTGCTGGGAGTACTATAGAAATCGGAGGGGTGTTTCCTTCGGCGCTACTCACACAAGCACTAAACTCACCATATCTCACCGCATTTACGACATGATCTAGATATATCCGACTGAAGTTACGGCCATAAGCAGAAACTCCTATCGTAAGAACGCCTTATGCAGTAGTGGATTGAAGTGACTGGGTTTTCGTTACAGAGACCTACAGTGTGATTCTTTTTTTCAATTTTTATTTCGACTACTACAACAATGTGCGTAGGCGGATCCTTTTGTGAGAGTTTCGCAAAAGACAGAAAGACTGTGCTTTTTTGTTAGTCATAATATCCTAAATGATCGGAATGACTCATGTACGAGACCTGATTGGTGAAATGGGAGGAAGACCAACCACCTCTCCATGGACGAGGTCCCACTGGCAGCGATTACTGGACTGAAAGCCTGAATCCGCACGTTTTGAGGAGGTACATAAAATCGAGACTGAACAGCATTTCTGCATCCCTGCGCAAAACACGTCCAGATTCAGGAACTTAATCCAATCGTCTTCGCTAGTGGGGCAACTCGCCTGGTTTTCTGATGCTGACGTCTTTCTGGAGGAACACCGTGACAAGACGGGGCGAAAGCAAAACTGAACACCTCCAAACGTTAATCCCATCCTCCGCGCTAATGAATCCCTGCTCCCGGCGCAGGTCCGAAACGAAAGGGGAAGTCCCGGCAGTTCAAGGACCAAGGTGCAGGAAAATAAACTGAACAAATTTTGCCTCAGAGTCAACCCCGAGCTTAGAAGCCATATGCCAGGGCCAGACTACCGTCTTCCCCTAAGCACAACGCAACCTCGTCTAGACTTAACCGTTCCGACCGGGGGAGGACGGTTCGTGTACATTCATAATCAGGGTACTATATGTTGGGGGGGACAAGGTAGAGTGTGAAAGAACACGGGTGAAGGCGACGGGGAAAGCAGAGGATAAAGGACAAAACGGGTAATGGCTTTCGAAAATGGAACAGTCACGATGCACCACTCGTCAAACGCCAACATTTTGAAAGTTTAAAGGCCGCTACCGTTCAAAAACATTCAAAATGTTCCGAGTTGGACAAGTGCTGAGACGCAGACCTAATAGGACTCAGCACGAATGCAAGGACCGGAAAAAGAAAGAATAAAGAGAAACAGAAACACTGAAACGGAAAAGAGAACAAAAAGAGGGCGGAAGGAGAGAGAGCGAGACACCAAAAGATCGGAAGAAAACTCTAGGAGTGACTGCCAAACACACCAGCCATAACCATCTTAGCCTCTTTCCACCGATAGGAACGCAGGGCCATTATCGCTGCATCTGGACTGAAAGTTGCCCCAAGTACAAATATAATCACGTACAGAGCTCCATTCGAGGAATAGACGGTAGCTTGGCCAAATGGCTCCTCAAAAAAAGAGACAGAAATAAAGGGAGAGAAAGAGGGGGGGACAAGAAAAAGAGAATCAGAGTGCGTCGTAGAGAGAGAAAGAGAGCGAGAGAGAGAGAGCGAAAGAGCGAGACAGTGAGACAAAGCGTACCAAGCAAGCATTTTGAACGTGGAATCAATGAATTGAAAACCGAAACCGTTTCTCAAAATTTTTCATGTACAGGAAAGGGATCAGTCCCGATGACTGACTCTGACCAGAAATGACCCATCAGCGTTCGATATACCAGATGTCGGATGTCAGATGTAAGATCGATGGGTGCCCGGCGACCAAAGCAGCAGCTTCAGTAGCGCCTCACCTGCGGGCAAAAACCAGCAGCCATGCGATATACCATTGCCATTCAACGAAAGTGGCTTGTCCTCGGCTCAGAGAAAAAACCTCCCTCAGCCCTGTTCTCACCGCTAACCCCCTTCTCTTCCTGTCAGGTTCAACCACCATTCCGGGTGCCGTTGTCCCATTTGCAATTCAAAGGTTAAGCCGTTATCCCATTCCAATTCAAGCCTTCGCCGCCTTTTTCATCTTGGCCAATTCCCTCTTGACATGATAACTCCTCTGCACAACGGAAAAACAAAAAAAAAGGAAAAGAATACACCATCAGAACCAGGAATCGTGCATTGAAGTCAACGAAGTAGATTCAACAGAACCGATTGCACAATCAAGAATCATATTATCGAATAATATCGAACAAAAAAGTCAAAATACAAAATCAAAAATAAAATTCAAAAATCGAGGACTGATGTGAGCTCCCAAACATGGCACCCATATCACAAGCTTGAATCGCAGTAACTACCAGTAGGATATGGGCTCCGGCCAGTCTCAACAACCGCCACACCGTCTCATAAGGTGGAATACGACAACTACAACCGTCATCAACCGCCCATCAGAACCACAACATGACGGAATCATGACACCCACATCATCCTTACGTAAAGAGAAAAGAGAAAAAAATCATGTCATGTTTACTTTTTGTCAATCTACGTCTCTCTAAAATAAGAAAGGAAAACAAAAGCCCATCAGATACAGACCACTTGGCTGTGATAGAGTGCTTCCTGTCGATCCGCAAAAAGAATTACATGATAACCATCCAGAGCAAATCAAACGGGTTGGGGGTACCCGTCCTCCCCTGAGTAGAAATTACAGTATCCCTGTATCGAGACAAACTCGCCCCAAATAAAGTCAACAACCGTATATGAGGCAAGTGCAATGAGGCAAAGACATTTGGACAGAGCTGTCACAGAGACTACTGCCAATCGAGGAACAGAATCACATGATAAAAAAAACGGCTGTCACAGAGACTACTGTCAATCGAAGAACAGGATCACATGATAAAAAAGCGGGCAGGGGTACAGTCTTTCCTCCGAATAGAAGGCACGGTCGTTACCGCTGTATACAGACTGAAAGTTGCCCAAAATACAGTCTGAATGACCGTATATCTTCTATTCGGGGAGACGCAAGGCCAAGGCTGGGAAGAATGGGGTTCGACGCCATGACGTAACATTAGCAAACAAGACTGGACTGAGTTCCTGAAGCTGGATGTGTTCAACGCAGAGATGCAGAAAAGCACTTACATCTCATATTCCCTGCACCTCTCAACGAAAAAAACGTCCACATTCAGGCGTTCAATCCAACCCTCTTTGCTACACGGATCTCGCGCTTTGTCCAGATTCAGGCATTCAGTCCGGCCACTCGGCTACGCATCAGGGCTAGCATCTGATCTTCTTTATTTTGCTCTTTTTTTTTGAAGGGGGGCGGGTTGAATGGGGCCAATATCTGTTCTGCTCAAATTGATGTTGAAATAAAAAATTGCACAATCCACCACAAAGAATAGAGACACTCGTGTCCAACCACTGAGCTAAAGACTAAAGAATTCGCAGAAAACATCTACGTACCTTCATCCGGGCAGTCATGATCTTGAACCTGTCAAAATCCGTTAGACCGGCGCGCTTCTTCCGGACCTCAAGCTTCCTTCCCCAAGCACTACCCGCCCACTTCTGGTAAACTTCTGCGTAAAAAGAACGATGAAAGGAAAAAGAACAAATAATAACCGCGGCATCAGAATGATTCCCTCCTCCCTTGTCAACCTCCTAGAAAAAAATGCCATTTCGTAAAATAAAAAGAGGGCCAAAAAAGTCGGCAAATCACCAAAAACTGACAATCAAGAAAAGGAAGAACAACAAAAGTAACAATTACAGCGAAAACAAAACAACACAAGAAAGGGAAAATAACATAAAACAGAAGGACAAAAACTAACAACGGCCCTCGACCTGGATAACTCAATCTACAAAGTGGTGAAAATATATGATAGCGGCTCGCTCTGCTACAGAACAATTTAAGTGTACCTGGTCCTGGCCGTCTTCCAGATACATTCAATATGAGTAGGCCATATATAATTGTTTGTCCTTTACACAAAGGGCAACAGAAAATGTCTATGCAGGCCGCGCACTTACTACGCACCTCGTAATGCACCTAGTTCTATAGATGATCTAAATTCATTGGGTTCAGAAAACAGCCTAGGCTCGAATTGCTAACTTTGCATAAAATGTGCGTAAATCAAATCGAAGGACTAGGAAGTGCTCACAAAAAACTAATGGGCCTGACGCAGACGCAGCCTTCTCTGGGGATAATTTAGGGCTGACATTTCATGCCTGTCGCCTGACGCGGACGCAGTCTTCTCACAGAGCAGGTAGGGACTTCTAAAACTAATCTGCGCACATACAACTTCGGACACAATCCCCAAAACCCGAAATAGTACTTCCAAACTGAGCTCTCTCTCCCTCTCGCTCTCTCACACACACACACAGAGAAACTCCTCTAAACCTGATCTGATCACATGCAACCTTGGATAACTCTCCAACACCAGAAGTGGGACTTCCCAACATCATGTACCTCTCTCGCTCTCTCTCTCTCTGTCTCTCTCTCTATCCACACACACACAAACGCACACACGCAGAGTACGCACCTTATGCGTCCATACAGGATGTGTCTTAAATAGACAACTCGACGGACCCTGAGCCTCCCACTATCACCCAACAACTCGCTGAAGAAAAGACAATAACGTCGTGTAAGACAACGCTTCAAGCGATAGAAAGGAGGAAATCGTGTTATCTGTCCACATTCAAGGACTGGCAATCTTAAGACAGTGGGAGAGCAGTGCAGTGACGTCTTACAAGTACACCATCGCTTCCTCATACTCTCTCCCAGGAATACCATTTTCCTCCGAACATAACGTACGGTCATTAATTGTGTTATCTGTCCACCTCCAAGGACTGGCAATCTTAGACAGTGGGAGAGTAGGGCAGTGAGGTTCACTTGCCCCTTCCCCTCTTCCTCGAGTACACCATCGCTTCCTCGTACTCTCCCAGGAATACCACTTTCCCCACAACATAGGCTACGGTCATTACATCCGTATCTGGCCTTACTTTCAATCCGGAATCGGCGAAAATGACGGCACGTTGTTCTATTCGAAAGAAGTCTGTAACACAGGCCACGAAGTCGTCCTGGCATCTTCGTCAGGTTGAGATCCCGTAACTCAGTCCGGATCGATGTGGCTTACTCTAAAGCAGAGCAGAGCTCACAGCATTACGCATCGGACACGGACGGACAAGAACACGACTTCACGTTACTCCCTTTAGACGACCGTCGTCCCCCAAAACGCACCTGACCTGAAACATAGCTTGTACACTATTAATATGTTCGGACGACGGATGCCTAGTTGGTAGACCGATGAACTGTTGAAATTCAGACCTGCGCTCGAAAACCGACAGAATTACAATTCGGAATTAGAAAGATAACAGAAACTCACCTCCCTTTACAAACGCTTCCTTGACCGTGTCTTTCTTGGGCATTCGCAAGATGTCGACCTTCAAGTCCGTCAAAGACAGCCGGTTGAAGCTAATCTGCTGCCTCGTCACGTCGGGCGCGTCAACTAGTGCCTGAATCGAGAACAGAAACAACACCCAACACGCCTCCGGGTGTGTTAAAAACAAGTTCTTCCTTCCTTTTACCTTCAATCACAAATTAAACTGATAAGAAGAGAAACGACACACCAAATTAGTCCAAAAAGGTTCAAGAAAGGTTATTATCCCATTTTCCCCCTATTCCCCTTTTTTCCCTCTTCTTCCCTTTCCACTATTTTTCTTAATCTGATGACGATTTGCAAATTTGCGCCGTCCGTCAACGACCGTGATGAGGGTGCCTGAATTTAGAAATGAAAACCGAGCCGCCATCAACTAGAAATCTCTAGTTAACCTTACCAGCGGCTTTTTTCGTTTATCAGCGCCAACCGACAGCATTTATTTGCCCTTTCCTTAATCTCGACTGTTTCTCAATTTGTGCGTGTCGTCTTCAAAAGCGCAATTGCCACTCTTAACTTTCAATTACCGTACCATCTTCGCCAAAACCGAACGTGAAGTCATGATGCCTGTATTTCAGGTAACTATCAGTCCAGATACATTGATAATGACCGTGAAGTTTCTAGGAGGAAGACGGTGGTCGAAAAAGTCTTCATCGAAATCTTCTGTATCTGGTCACGCTTTTCGACGTCCCGTACAAAGACTTCCAACGCCGTACCCCTAATCTTACGACGCCTGTCACCAATACCTATGCTTCATTTTTCCTTGACTTCCTCGCGGTGCGCACAAGCCATTTTTTTCTTTCCGTCTTTTTTTTCTTTTTTTCCATTCTTTTTTCCCTCGACTTTGTCGCGTTGCCAAAAGTAATACAACTTCGACACTATCCGAAACTCATCTAAACCATGCCCGTCTAAACCATACCCGCTAGTTATAAACATTTTACTTCAAGAATCGTGAACATCATCCGCTCATTATCTGCACCTCATTCTCTGATACTTACTAGCGAGTTAACCCCCCCATAGTTATCCTTTATCCCCAACATACCTCACCCTAATTTGCTACGCTCCCCCTCTCTTACTTCCCATAACTGAACATACGGTTCACTTTCATTCTCGATAGAGCGATAATAACCGTACGCTCTATTCGAGGGAAGATGCTATACACAAGACAACACTTTTCAACCTCTTCCCACACACGGCTTCGAAGACGCGGTTTTCAATCCAAGAGCCACTTTCGCGCTGAAGCGACCACGTGCCACGTATCTATCACAACCGTCATCACCGTGTCTCGTTACTATCATTAAAAACAAAAGAAAAGCCACATGTCTCGTTCGTGTCATGGGGGTCACCACATGTCGCGTTCCTGTTGCCCTCCTCTGTCAATACCAATGACATCTTATTCATCATCAGCTCGACAAATCATAACCCTCCATATATATTGTCACACTGTGAACCCTCCATATTTATATATAGTCACGTGCTGTGGTCGCGGAATTTCCTTTTCTGGAATCGCCACCTTTGAAACCTTCACCTCTAACCTTCCACACTCCACACACCTCCCCACTTTCATCTGCCAATCCTCAGACTACACTCAACTGGTGCTCTGCAGCTCCTTAGCTATGCCAAGCTATGCCAGCCTCTCTCATCCATCGCTTCTCTTCCCTGTCCTCCCCTGTTCCCTCTACCTCACTTACCTCCTCTCCCATTCCCTTCGCTGTTTTCCCGCCAATCTCGCAACACTCCCGCCAATCTCGCCACCTCCCTCCCGCTCACTTGCCTTCTTTCCCGCCAATCTGGCTGCCCTCATTTAACTGCTACTCTTTTTTCTTTTTGGACAATTCCGCACTGGTATCGGACTAGATTCACTGAATCCCTCCCATCCTCCATCTACTCCACTAGAATATTCTCTGTCGTTCCCTTGCCTGATCTCCCGTCCATCTTGCGACTCTCATTTGCCTGCCACCGTCGCTTCGTTCCCACCAGTTCCATATCGGCATCGGAGTCGATTCACTGAACCTTCGCAGTCCAGTCAACTGCGTTCAACTTACTAGTGATCCAACTCCCAAGTAGATCGTCGCCTTGAAAAGATCGCCTCCATCACAGGCTCCCATTGGGCTCCTATTGCTCCCCGCCACCTCCTTTCCCCCATATTCTACAGTTCACCGACTCCTCGTAACCCCATTCGTACATCATTACCTACCCCCCCGCGCCTTGGTCCTCTCGACTCCCATCCGGTTTCTTCCAACTCTCTGATCTTTCCTTCCCGATACCGCAGATTCTGCAGCAGCTACAATTATCCATGTTAAAATTCTCGGTAAACCGCCAATTCGATAACCCCTCACCAGTCTTTTCTCTATGCTCGCTTTCCTGTACTACCTCCTCTCTGTCAACCTCTCACGTATTTTCTCTCAGCTCTCATCGTGGGTCATCTACCTCCTGACCTTCTCTCAACTACCGCCTTCCAGCTGCCTCACCTCCTCTACTCCCTCAGTTCTCTGCTCTCTCGAGATTCTCCTCCGCTCTCTTTGTGACTTACACTCTCTCCGATCCCTCCAGTTCCCTTTAAGCTTTTCTCTTGTCGATATCCCCCCCCCTTCTTCGTAAACTCCACCCTCTTCTCCTCAACTTCGCCGCTCCCACCATCTGCTCCTCTGTATGTCGGCGTCTCAAGCGCCTCAACACTTGTCTACACAGAGCGTTCGACGTCATCGTCAACCTTTCAAAAACACCAAAAAAACAGTCTACAGCGTACAATACAGGTCAACGAGCTGAAAGAATTGACACAGCAATGACAATGCAGCGCAGCAGACGTTCATCAGTTCGTCACAGTCAGCTGAAATACTATGAAGTTCGTATGTGACTATAGATCCAACTGCATATCCGACCATAGTTCCGACCAGGTTCTGACCAAAAGGTGCATTCATTAATCTAACAAGGATTTTTATCTTTATCAGTCACTTAAAGTACGATGAGTTTAGCAAGGGGTCAAACTCAAAATGAAGGTGCGTGTCTGACCGTAGTTCCGACCAGATTATGACCAAGGGGTGCATTTATAGCATTCTCATTTCCGAAGTCGCCGACGGAAATGAGAGCACCTGCATCGGTTAATCACATTAATTTTAAAATACGAATTGGACCCGTTCGGGCATATTTTCTCGTTCTAGGACTACGATACAGGCATCTGGCCGAACATCCGACTAGATTCCCTCCAAAAAGTGCAAGTCGCTTTGGTCAATTTAGGTTTACCTTCCGCGATTTTGCCTCCGACGTCGACTACAGCATAGAGTTCAACGTTTTGCTCGCCTCAGATGTTCTCCTAGAGCATTCGAACACAACATTTCTCGCACGTATATAACACTTCTGACAAGACTCCTCCCAGGAAATGCAAGTGTCCTACGTGACTCTGATCACCGACGTCGACGACGGCATAGACGTCACTTCGCTCGCCAAAGACCCTCTTAAAGCGTCTCCACACAAGATATTTCTGGACACTACCTAACCAATTGCGACCGTGTTAAATCCAAAAGTTGCAAATGCATTAGTTCATTAAGTTTTCCTTACCGGATTTTGATCTGCGACATCGACGACGTCACTACAGTCGACATCTTACTCCCCGTCGATGCCCTAATAGGGCGTCTCCCCGTCGATGCCCTACTAGGGCGTCCACACACAGTCATTTCTAGGCAGTTTCAAAAGTGATTGCGACCGTATTCACTCAAATGAATTGCAAAATGCATGGGTTTATTAGGTTTGGCTTACCCGATTTTGATCAACGACGTCCACAATGGCAACGAGCTTGCCGTAGTGCTCGCCATAGTTAACGAGACATATCCTCCCGATCTCAACAAAGCGCCTGAACGACTGAAAGGTCAAAAACGAGAACAACAGCAGGACAAAGAACACAAGAATCGGAAAAAAAATCGCACAGAAAGGGTTAGGTTACGAGACTCGATAAGAGAACTACACGGTCAAAAGATTTTTGAAAAACAAAACACAAAACAAGTCTTTGATCATCTCCACACACTCTAAGAGAAACTTCAATCAAGCAGCCGAATCAAACCCTAAAAGTAAGTATCCCACACATACATTCCATCGCAACTGATGCACGTAGTCCTCACTTCAATTTAATCGCGGTTCAGCTCAGTAATTCCTCTCCAAAAGCTCTATTAATCCACTCAAAAGCCCAACTACTCCACTCAACTGTTCTGTTTTACGCAAATATACATTAAATTACCGTCATAGAGAACTGCCTGCCAGACCGTAAACAGTAGGAAGAGGGAAAAGACAACAAACGAGAGGCTCTGACAGACTGTTCCGTCTAAGTTTCACCGACTCGTCAGGAGGCTGATATATACACATAAATATAGATTACGACAGAAAATCAAAAGCGTTGTCTCGTCATCAGCTCAACGCCAGCAATACCGACATTATTTCACCCCAAAGCAGACATATATATCCCCGCCTAGTTGATCACGTTCCACGTAGACGGGATGTGGTTATACTTACCCGTTTTTTCGTTTTACAATTATTCTACACGAAGCATACACATGCACATAACAATTAAAAAACGGAAAAAAGGGCTTTTCAAGACATCTTCCCCACGAAAAAGATTTTTCGACAAATCTTAACCCTTCTTTTAATTTTACAATTGTTCTATTTGAAACGCGCACACGTATCCCTCCAAAAATGGTTTTTCAACACGCCACCTCTCCATGGAAAGTCGTCACCTACCGTCTTCCCTCGAACACAACGCAACATCTTGACTGCATCCAACCTGAAGGATGGTATGTATACATTCAGAATCAGGGTGCTTTACGATTGTGGGAACACGGTAGTCAGGAAATCCAACATCTCATCGTTGTCATAATTCAGCTCCACTACGCTAACATGAAGGAACTTTGGCCATCGCTCCACAACTCGCTAAATGTGGAAAATGAGACCCATCTTCCACTAGAACAGGTAAAGATACCCCGCCATATTTGTTATCTACCGTGCATGTGGTGAACTGTTGTATACTCACAACGCCGAAACGTCTGGAGGCCCTTTGCTGCATACTGCATCAATCAAGTGACTGATTTCCAAGAAAGAGAGACCTAGAAATAAAATGACAATAATAAAAATTCCATATCCTACTGTGCCTCTCAGATCGTCCGCCACCATAATCTACTCCCCCTCGCGGGGCTATCTTTCTCCCACATCCATTGACAAACCCTCGTCAACTCCTAATTCCGAAACTTACCCTCTACGTCGATGCAGACACAGGGCGAGAGACCTTGAAAAAACGACATACGAAATAAAAAAAAACGAAAAAAAGAATGCCTATGCTCAGTACAGCATTTGCCTCTCTGATCAGCCGCCGCCGTTACCTAGCTATTTTTCTACGATATTCATTGACAAACCCTCTTCTTCTCCCAATTCCAAAGCTAACCCTCCGCGGCGATGCAGCCAACGGGCCCAGCCATCTCACACACAGTCTGGGCAAGACAATGTAATCATGATCCCAGTGAAGATGGCATACGTCCAACCGACCTCATCTTGCACGTCACGTAATCTCGCAAGTGTAGTGGCATCCAGGAGAGAGAAGAGCATCGAAACCGACAAGTTCCGTGTTCAAGCCCGCTAGGAGAAAGAAGGAATTCCAACAAACTGCCATGTTTCACAATTAACCATTTGCAAGGACAAGAAGAAAGACCACAGATGGGGGGTAGGGGGCGATGGACAAAGGCAAAGAGGTTTCGCCGTACGTACCATTTTGGCTGCTCAGCGACCGACAGCGAAAGCGAAGAGCGATGAAGAAAAGCGCTAGCGGTGTGAGCAAGGACGGAGAAGGCTGAAAGAGAGGCGGGGAGAAGTTTTCCAACGCTATATCGAGATAGCCCTAGCCCTCCGTGCCTTCGTGACACGCCAGACAGTAAAACCCTGGACACACACCTCCGGAAGAGCCCGACATCGAAGCCGGCCCAAGACGCGCGCCCAATTCAGTCTGCCTGATGTCTTTTGTTGGGAACGGGTGCGTGAGGACAAAGGTAGCCCCTGCGTTTGGGACCCCATAGGCGTGGGGGACATCCCTGGAGCTTCAGCCGCGCGACTACTCCCGAGCCTATATTTCCCTACCTGAATTGGGGGGTAGGGCAGCCTCGGACTTTCAACCACGCAACCCCAGGCACGTCTGACGCAACACAGCCTTGGTGATCCACAACACCGCCGCTGTTGAGCCTATGTTACCGAACCAAATTTACGGGACCTGATTTGGGTTAGGGCAGCCTGGGAGTTCCACAGCCCGTGGGTTTGGGACCCCAGGCGCATCCGACGCAACACAGCCTTGGTGGGAAAAAACACAGCCTTGGAGTTCCATCGACCGCGGCCGAGCCTACGTTACCGAACCTGCTTTGGGGTAAGGAAGCCTTGTAGACCTGGCCTCGACCCTGTTCCCAGTAATGAACAGATTACGAACTCCTGCAGGAAATAAATAAAAGAAAAAGGGGACAAGGTAGACCCTATTCCAAGTAATGTACAGATTACAAAATCTTGCAGGAAATAAATAAAAGAAAAAAGGGGAAAACGTAAATCTTATTCCCAGTAATGTACAGATTACGAACTCCTGCAGGAAATAAATAAAATAAAAAAGGGGAAAAGGTAGCCAGTATCTGGGTTTGGGGCAACACAACGTCAGAGTTCAACCATGCAATTGTCCCGGAACGTGTGTTATCGGATCTGATTTAGGGTAGGGTAGCTGGGGAGTTCCACAACGCTTTTGATAACCAGCCTATACTATCATACTTGATTTGGGGTAAAGCACCCTGGGAGTTTCATTATATGGGTGACTACTCTCGAGTTTGTGTTTGACAAATTTTATTTCTCTTGGAGTTGTTCTATAACACAATTGCTTCAAAGCGTATTATGTCAAATTTGACGTTCGCCTGAACCAAAATATATTGGACAGCTTATGAAGTGTCACAAGCCTTATCATGCTTGTCATGATCAATGTCCACCAATAGAAACTGATGTGGTGATCTCATGACCAAGGTTAGGCTACATTGTTTATATATGGTGAACCTCCGTTGTCGAGCGCACCAGCTCTCGTATTTTTCACAAATAGCGAAAGCCCTCCCGATCATGTCACGCATGAGTAAACGAAACAAAACAACTTAAAGATGACTCGTACGTAATCCCACGAACCATCGAGACGGACGTGGTTGCATCATCCCTTCGGCGCTTTAGCCAGGTGCACCAAGCGTACTTTTTGTTGTCCCCTACGACATGATAGGTTCCCGCCGGGCACAACTTACCTTCCCTAAGGAGTTGTCACTACCCTTAGGGGTGTACCCCTACCGAGCTACTGACCCACGTGTAAACGTTTTTAAATGCAATTGCAGAGGTAGGTCAACCGATGGTGTTTGCTCGTTCCTTTGTAGTATAGATACGTTGTTCGTGTGAATACTCTTACAACGGTATCCGCCCTGTTTTTTGCACGTAACAGAAAATGAGTTTTTATTTGAAATTTGTATGCACCGCGCGAGTCGTGACTATATTATTTTTTACCCTGATTAATTGTTTGACAGAAAGTTGAAAGTGCATAGGTGCGTATATTTAAGGCGCACATGATTTTTTTCTTATAGATGTTACAAAGTCGACATATTTGTCAGTCTACATTTTGTTTTTGATAAAACTAAGATTAAACGATCAATCTTTCAGTTGGTACGTCTGACGGCAACGTGTGCTCGCGTATAGAAGCGACATCCCTATAACCGGCGTCCAGTGGTCGTGGATTCGGGTGCACGGCAAGATATGGTTTTGAGGCGTTCTAGTACGTCAACGAACCGTGCAATATTCGCTTATATGGATGTTCAAAGTGTTTTATATCAGCCTTGGGCATAACACTATTGGTTATGACCTTGGGTTTTCACCACAGAGGTACGAGGATCGAGGTCAGCGATTAACAAGGAGGTGATGGAGCGATTCAAAGGAACCGAGGGGTTGAGGGTTCGGTGGGGCTATCACCCTTTGCTTCTGCTACCAGCCCCGGTAACGGGCCCGATTGACAGGGGTGAAGAAGGTCATCGGCGGTCTCTTCCCCTCTTCATTCCTCCGTGTTCGTCGTATTTATTTATTTATAGTTTTATTTTTATTATTTGGTTTTGTTTATCGGAACACAGTAGCTCGTACCAACAGGTTCACCTTAGTTGGTACACCCATGAACTGTTGAAATACACATTTGAGTTTGAACTTCACCGGAAGCAGACGAGTGATACACTCCACCTCTGAATTATTGAAGGTTAGTCAGAGCTTGACGAAGGTATCTTAACGTTGTTACTTACTGACTCAGTCCTTCATAACATTCGTTACAATGAGAACGATATTAGGATTTTGGAGGAGGAATGGTTTGTGGATCCCTCATACCGAGCGCCCGAGTCGAGTCTAGTTGCAAAAAGATGCAGCCCAACGGTAGTCGGGCTGCTTTTTTACTTCAACCTTGATTCGTGTGAGTGGGATGAGAGTGCGTACAAATTGGCGGAAAGATAGAAGGAGGGTGAGGACGTTTGAACCTTACCCACCATGCTCTCTGCTTGTTGATAGTCCTCATGGTCATCATCGTGGTCTTTATGAGCACGCGCTTGATTACCTTGTTTGACCATCAAAAGTCTTATGGTCTTTGATTCATGGTGATTGTCAGGGTAGTAGCAGTCACTCGGCATGAGGCCGGGTGGTCTCTGCCATCGTTGTGGGAACTAGTGCATATTTGTGGTCGGGACCTTCACTACTGGTGTTCAAAGCTAGTTTGTTGGTTTCGTTGGAAGATATGCCCGCGTTCACATACTTATGCTGGTGATGATCGCGCTATAGCTAGTCATCGACATCCTATTAGTGCAATTGCTAAGGCCAACACCTCACTATTGTTGATTACCAAGATTGGGTGGACTGCTACTACCAACTAAAATCAGAGGCTGCATCGCTCGGTTGCTGATGGTGAAAGGCGGATGTTTCGGGGGACTATAACTGATGACGCAAGACAATGCTGCTGATCCCTGCGTTATGACCACAATCTTTTATGATTAGCAGCTAGTAGGTCGTGACTATCGTGCCTTAGTTATGATTACTATACCTTCTGTTGCCTTATTGCTGCTCAACTGCTGAGATTTTCACTAAGTGATTGATCTATCTTCTCTACTACTATTTAGAGTGCACCTGCTGCTAGATGTCTCATGTGAAGTTCTTGTTAGGTCTGAGTGCACAATGTTTCGTCATATTTGGTTGTACTCATGGAGTGCCTTTGCAAGGTTCTGCGTCGTGTATCATCGTGCGAGGCGTTGTGCATGTTGTGCTTTTGCTAAGAATTGTTGTGCGACACTGCAATATCTGTGTTTGTTGGACACGAGTGTTCTGCGCATGGGGGTTGTTGAATTTGTTGCGTCTCACTTGCATTTTGAATAAAGCACATAGGGCGTGTTCTATTCAAACACAACCTTTATAGTCTGCATAACTACAATTTAGTTAAGGGTGAGGCACTAAGGTGGATAAGTGATAATGCTCTTGAAACGGGTCGCTGCTGCGGTTCGAAGGACCGTCAAGGTGCAATTGCTCTGCGTCTCGACTTTTATTCGACCATTTTTACTGTATTTATTGACCACCATTGAGGGGCCTTCAGGGGATTCAAGGTTTGAAGGCACTCTCATGTAAGTCTGAGTGCACCTCCCTTGTATCTAGGATACTTTATGATTTTTTTTCTACCCATTTTACTCTTTGTCTAGTTTATTGGTTCAAAGAGATAGGCGGAAGGTGCCCGTATCCCACTCCAAGGTCTTTGTGGGAGGTTTGCCCCATTGATTGCGGGAGCTATGCCAGAATCTATGCGAGGTTATGGAGAAAGAGAACTGTCAGGTATAACTTCCTTTTGCCCTTTGTGAACCCACTATACCCTTAACCTTTACATCTCTCTAGTTTGTCTTCGACATATCATATGCATGTGTTCCTTTATGATTTTTTAATTTTTTTTTAAGAACTTAATTAGGTTAATTAAAATGAATGCATATGTAAATTCATTTTTTTTTTTTTATTATTGAAATCAGACTAAGGGATGAATTCGGGGAAGGTGAGAGGGAGATGGTTTTGCATGCGTTTGACCGGGTCAATCAAAGGTTGAACATTGTTTTTAGGTTGAATGACCCTGTGTTATTTTCTTGCTTGTTTTTTGAAGGATCAGACATTGTTTCTAAGCTGAATAATTTGGTTAATGTGTTTATTTTTACGATTTTTTTTGTCCGACTTTTGAGGCCAAGCATTGTTTATAAGCTAAATGGCTTGGTCTATCTTTTTTTTTTTTTTTTTTTTTTTTTTTTTTTTTTTTTTTTTTTTTTTTTTTTTTTTTTTTTTTTTTTTTTTTTTTTAAGTTGGATTGAATGGTCTAACTTAATGCTTTTGTGTAACTTGGGATAAACTAAACATTGTTTCTAAGTTGAATCGTTCAGTCTCTTATTTTATTTTGAGATAGAGTTTTGGTAAATGACTAAAAACAATTTATAGGTTGAATGATATAACTCGAAATCACACACTAAGTGCAGACTTAGTATAATTGGAAATACATTATCTATATTTGCATGTGAGCATATAATTGAACATTCTTTTTAAGCAGAATGGTTCAACTTAAGCCATATCACTAAGAAGAGAAATAAAATTAAAAGTATAATTGGAAATAAATTAGGCAAGTTGATCATTATTTTTAAGTTGAATAGCTCAGTCTCTTGCCCGTATTTTGAAGATAACTTAGCGAATTATTAAATCTTGAATATTTAAACAGCTCAAGGCGACTAAGCAAGGTTTTTAAGTTGAATAATTTATCAACATGCCCTAAGAAAAAATTGTGCAGCATGTTCGTGTAAAATCTACGACATGCTAGACATTGCTTATAAGATGATCAGTCTAACGTCATGTTGTA